CATGTGGGCGGGGTCAGAGGTTGCTAAATTACCTCCAGCGTGTGGAACATATGCCCTGATCAGCTTGGACCTCTTCTTCTCATAACCCTTCTGAGTGATGTCCCCTGTAAACAGATAAAGATAAATAGAGTGTGAGAGCCAACCACAGGGGCGGGGCACCAGGGGGGGACACCTGCTGGTCTGTAAGATTTTTTATTATTTTTTTAATCCTTCCTCTCAATATTAGACGAAAAGTTAGTCCAACGATAATATGATCTGTTCAAGTCAAGAGTTAGTAGTTAGGAGTTAGTAGTTAGGAGTTAGTAGTTAGGAGTTAGTAGTTAGGAGTTAGTCAGATGTTTATTTCCTACAGTCCAGGGGCAAACATCTGGTCAACATCAATGAGAGGTCATAAAAAGGTCATCGTTTCATAAATAAGAAAAAAAAATGTTTTCGTTATAAAAGTAACAGTTATTTCTTATCACTATTGGTGGAAAAAATGTCCACATTGGTTTCCTGGATTTCGGCCGAGACCTCCGTGGGTTTGAAACTGATTTTTAATGAATATTTGTCCTGTGTTTTCATGTATATTTCTCTGTGTACTGTGTACTAGTTCACGAGTGGTAAAACTGCTTCAGTCCTGTCACGGAGCTGTTTCCAGGAGTCCTGTTAGCTGTTAGCATGTTAGCTAGAGTCAACACTTCTGTTGGAACCCTGTGGAAACAGCCTGCAGTCAGACTGCAGTGGCTGTCATCTACCACATGGTGCCACTACGTTACTCCCTGGTCGTCGTCAGTACCAGACGCTGCAGCGTCGCAGCTGGTACTAATGAAGCTCTTCTCAGCGCTAATGCACCGTCTATTCTAAAAACTCCCCCGTCAGGAGCTGAAAGACTGTTGGCCAGCTGTGACGTCTGACACCAGAGGAAGTCCTGGAGTATTTTTAGCTCTGGAAGTAAAAGGTAACGGAGCAGCTCCCAGAGAAGGAGCTCTTAGTCTTTAATGACACTTGGATTCATCGATCCACGTTCTCTCTTCACAAACACTGGAAGAGTTTAGAGCTGGAGCCAGTAGAGACGCTTCAACTCCGCTGGTTAGGAGTTACTCAGTTACTTAGTTACTTAGTTAATGACCGGATCATCCAGGTGAAAAGTTTCAAAAATTTCTGGTTTAATGTGGACTGGGCTACAACGTTTGTCTGGACCAGGACTGTTGAAGCTAACGTTGGCTCTGGTGTCTGTACCAGGACTGTTGAAGCTAACGTTAGCTCTGGTGTCTGTCCCAGGACTGTTGTAGCTAACGTTAGCTCTGGTGTCTGTACCAGGGCTGTTGTAGCTAACGTTAGCTCTGGTGTCTGTCCCAGGACTGTTGTAGCTAACGTTAGCGCTGGTGTCTGGACCAGGGAACTCCCCTGGTCCAGCTTTAACTGTGGCTCCGTGTGAACGTAAACAACAGAATGAGGAGAATCAGTGGTTTCTAATCTGACCGTGGACACAGCTGGGCTCAATCTGCACATCTGGGAGAGTGTGTGTGTGTGTGTGTCTTCTCTCAGATTAACCAGGCATAAAAACTGCATCCTTTCCCCCCCCCCCATCACACACACACACACACACACGTGCCCCACCAGCTCTGTCTGAAGGGAGTCGACGCCATCTTCCACTCACGGTGCAGCAGAGCAGGGAGGGAGTTGCCTAGCAACGCTTTTCAAGGAGAGAAGGCCTGATGCGGCGGCCATCTTGGATTTGAAGCTGCAGTTGTCACGATACCTGCTGCCAGTGTGTGTGTGTGTGTGTGTGTGTGTGTGTGTGTGTTTCCTCCCTGACTCTCAGCTCACACAGAATCGATGACTGTTGATTTACAGACTGGAGTTTTTCAGCAGCAACAGAAAAACAAATCACTTCACCAGCTTCCTTCCTTCCTCACTCCTTCCTTCCTCACTCCTTCCTTCCTCACTCCTTCCTTCCTCACTCCTTCCTTCCTCACTCCTTCCCTACTTTTCATCCTCTGAATCCTTTGTTCTTACTTCCCTTCCTTTCTTCCCTCCTTGTCTATTCCTCCTCTCTTTCCTCGTCAGTGTTTCCATATTTCCTTCCTCACTTCCTGTCTGAGTTGTTTCTTTTCCCACTTTTCCTTCTGTTCTTCCTCCCAACATTATTAACCCAAACCTTCCTTCTCTCCTTCCCTGTTTCCTCCTCTTCTGTCTGACATTTTGTTTTCTCCACAATCACATCATCATTAAAACCAGCCTCCAGTCCACCTACAAACACACACCATGGAAACCAGATCTACCTCCAGCAGAAACACACACTCACACACACACACACACACACACAGAGTGAGGTGTGCGTCATGCAGTGGGACCTGGGGCTGTCACGCTCACATGCAGAGACATGTGTGTACGGACCTCCGATCGTCCACTGGTTCTGACTGCCCCCCCCCCTGACCCCCCCCCACACACACACACACACACACACACTGTCTGAGGATGCAGGTGTCTCGTCGGTCGGTGCGGCAGATAGAAACAGACGGCACGGTGTCCCAGTGGGTCGTCAGAACGTGGTCAGAACCAGGTTCTCCTACAGTCAGATTCTGGCTCCGTCCCAGTTCCCGCTCTGCTGCCGCTGACGGCTTCATCTGGTGAAGCCGAAGCAGCCAATCAGAGTGGCCAAACTCACCACCTGTTGTGGCCAACTGTGTGGACCACGACAGCTGGACACCGCGCGGCCCTAAAGATAGTCCAGAACTTCAGACTCATCGTCGATTCAACAAACGGACCATAATCCAGAGGGCGCGGCGACATGACTTCCTGACCACGTAAGGGCCGCAGCCCACGACCTGAGACACAGCTAAGGATCTGCAACAGCATCAGATCAGTCTACACTCCTGCAGACGGATCCACCGCTAACCAGAGGTGGTATCTGAAGCTGGAGGATCCACCGCTAACCAGAGGTGGTATCTTAAGCTGGAGGTGACCTGTGACCTTAGCTTTTTTTGCTTTGACATTTCTAAACTCCCTCCATCCCATCGTCAAGTTTAGTTTGAATCACACAGTTAAACCGTTTCTAAAGAAAGTTCTACAAAAGCTTAACAAAAAAACCCAAATCTTTCATCTGTCCAGAGGAGGCAGCATTTCATGGATTGACATTGACTTAAATGAGATGTAAACAGGTGTCAGCGTTAGTGCAGACTCCAGTTCCACTTCCACTGCTCCAATAATCGATACAAACACTTTCAGACAGATTGTCACAGAGTGGACAGAAGAGGCAGCCAATCACAGGGGAGCTGGGACGGATAAAGGTCGCTCAAACTCTGAAGCCGACATCTGTATCCAGTGATGCGCTGTGTCTATGGAGAACTGGAAGTGGACCAACCAGAACCGACCGTTTCTGACTGACTGAACAATGACGACGCCTTTCATTGACGCAGTTGGACTTTTGGACCTGAACCTCAACTTCAAAGACTCATGACTCACGTCTGAACACGGACTCGAGGATTCAGATTCTAAAGATTTAACCACGACTTCTTTAGTCATGATGTAAAAAAACCAACCAAACTTCCTGTCCTCCTGTCAACAGTCTTAAAATACCTCCCGCCCACTGGCCCCGCCCACAGCTAACGTCTGCTCCGCGGCCTCACTGGAGGAATGATTGACAGCTGCTGTGTTTTCAGAACACACCAACGCTCTACCAGCTGTCCACGGCAGGTTCTGCTCAGTCTTCATGTCAGAACCTTCATCTGTGCCACTTCAAACATGAATGAGTGTCTGGAAGGAACCGGGGACAGAGAACCGTTTACTGACACGCGGCCGTTGGCAGGACACGCCCCTCATGATCCACTGAGCTTCACCAACGTTCAAAAAGCCAAGGAAAAGACTTCAAAATAAAGTACAAGCCAGCCTTTAGGTGGCAGTAATGCACCTGCAGTTCATTTGACAGGAAGTGAAGATGAAACTGATGCGTTAAAGTCCAGGACAAAATGGGGTTTAATGGACGGAGAGTTTGGGTTTGATCACAGAGTCTTCACATCTCTGCAGTTTTGGGTTTGATCACAGAGTCTTCACATGTCTGCAGTTCTACAGCTGAGTCTACAGGTGAGTCTACAGCTGAGTCTACAGCTGAGTCTACAGGATCACCTCCATGTAGACCACCTTACTGTGAGCACAGACACCAGCGTTAGCTACAACAGTCCTGGTACAGACACCAACATGGTTCAGGTTCAGCCGTTCCCACTGAAGAAGAAGGAGCAGCGACAGTAAAACTGTGGAGCAGAGTCTGTGACGTGTCAGTTCAGGTGGACCAGGTGGACCAGGTGGACCAGGTGGACGTGGTCCACACCAGAACAACAGTCTTAAATGAACTGAACCTGTCTCTACATTCAGTCTGCAGCGTCCTCAAACTGGCACTTGACCCTCGTGTTGGAACTTCACTTCACTCTGGTCCAGAGGGACGACTGAGAACAACGTCCTGTCAACTCTACCCTCACCCCCTCACCCTCCTCACCCTCCTCACCCCCCTCCCTGACAGCCTTCTAGGCCAGGCCTGTATAAATAAAACATGTCCATTATATGAGGAGCGACTGCTGCTGTCTTAGAGGGACTGGCACCACACCAGGAAGGATCTCTGGGATTCACATTCAACGGCCTACAGACAACGTCCGTCTGTGTCTGTGTCTGTGTCTGTCTGTCTGTCTGTCTGTGTTCTGTTATACAGGCCTTGCATCGCAATGTTCCCCGCACACACATATACACAGGTCCAACCTCAACAGGACTTTCTATTAAAATAAAAACCAGCCAATAACTTTAACCGTGATAACAGGCTGGTGTTGACCAGCTGTAACACTAACCTGGTCATTAACTAACCCACACCTTACCACGGAACACGGTGTGAATACTAAGACCAAGTCGGACCCGAGCCGCAGACTGAGGCTCTGCTTCAGCAGGGACTCAGGTCCTCACAAGGCCCGTGTTTATGTCGGTCCTCATTAGCCACTAAAAAACACGCAGTGACACACGCAGGTATGAACATGTCAACATCTCAAGGTCAAACAGCCCAGAGTTTTAGGTACAAAACACCCGTGAAAACATCCGCACGAACGTGTTTTTTACGGGTTATAAAAAAAAAAAACAGTGAAGCGCAGCGGAGACAAAAGAGCACAGGCCGAGTCCCGCAGTGTGTCCCCCCGCTCGGTCCTCATCCCTTGCCGGCCTCAGTCAGCAGCCCAGGCCGGTCCCTGACAAACATCTGGAGGAGGAGGAGCAGAAGGAGCAGCAGCAGCAGGAGGAGGAGGAGGAGGAGGGAGAGGGGCGCAGGAATGAACGGCCAGATTCCGTTAGTAGTAACGGAAGGTGATGGTTAAAATGATGGTGATGGTTATGAGATAAGGAGGGAAAAAACAGGATGAGAAAGAAGGAGAAGCAGGAGGAGAAGGAGGCTCTTACCCTCTGACAGCTCCAGCTCCAGCTCTGCCAGCCGGGCTCGGATCTCCAGCGGGATCGGCGACGCCTCTCGGTCCGCCATTCGGATACGAAAACACCTCCTTCCTCCTCCACCACTACCACCTCCTCCTCCTCCCCCTCTTCCGCGGTGTTTAAAACTGCTTCTCCCGCTGCTCCTAAGCGGAGGTGCGGGTAAAACGCTGGAGACGTCGAGGCAGAACAAAGAGGAAAGTGTCGGAGCTCGGTGAGCAGTTAACGGGGCTCCGCCATGTCGAGCTCCGGCTCCGTGGGTCGATGAAGAGAACGTCGAGCTCCTGCGGCGCAGCTCTCGTTGGTCGGCGGCTGTTTTTGCTGCTGCTGCTGGTGATGATGATGATGGTGTTGGTGGAGGCGCTGATAGTGATGATGGTGATGAGGCTCCACCGCCGTTTGCTGCTGCTACAGTCACGTGACTCTGCTGAGGTTGAAGGGAGGAGAACGGCTGTAGCGCAGCTCCGCTCATCACCGATAGGAGGCGCCGCAGAAACGGAGGCCACACCTTTGGTGGAGTGAACGGGTGCGACTGGGACCACGTGACCACACCTGAGTCTTCACGCAAAACAAGCACCGTTTATCCGCCGCCATTTCTAAATGTGTCTATAATAAACACGAAGGTCCGATAAATGTGACATTTAAACACCGTCGACTCGTTAATGCCCTGAGTTTGACTCGTGTTGAACGTGTTGTTTTACCTGACACTGATGTTTCACGTTAATGTTTCCGTAAACAGTAACGGTACAGCAGCAGCTAGCTCTAAGATGTGGCGGCCATATTGGATTATCATGACATCAAACACTGAGGAGCTTCGTGTTCCACTGACATCAAGAAGTTCTTCTCACAGCTCAGACAACAACGGTGGAGTGAGGGCTGAGCAACGAAAAAACAAACATTAGATGGCGCTAAAACACACACAAACTGTACATTTAAACTTTTGGCTTTCAATTCAAAGATATTTTACTGATTTGTTTTTTAAATATAAAATGTGATGTGTTCATTTAAGTGTTTAAAACTAACACACACACACACACAGCGTGCGGTCATTTGTCTGTGTGATACTGATGATAATAATTAACTGTATTTCATTAGTTTTATTAAGGCAGTTCATTACGGCTGCAAATGTCCAACAATCAAATCACCCTCGATGTAAATAAACGGCAGTCAAAGGCAGAAGAAAACCGAGTCTCTGGTGCCGTCTGCTGGCCTTACCCTGGAACTACAAGCATCGTGGCACTGATTCGAATCCATGTTTTAAACGTCATTAAGAATTTAAAATGATGACGTCAGGAAGTCTAAATCAAACCTCACCTGTGTTCTGTCTGGATACCCACACATCAGACTTCACTCTCCTCTCCTCTCAGGGACTTCTTTACTCTCCTTAACTCCTGTGGACAGTTTGTACAGAGAACATACATATGCACAATCATTCACATTAAAAAACATTTAGTTTTTAACAAGAGACAAATCTGACAAATAAGACAATCAAGAAATCAGTTCAGAATTGAAACTTTTAGTCAACAGGCGTCTAAAGAAATAAGTTTGTGATTTTTGTTTATTATTATTGAGCAGCTGATGATGTCAAAGGTTAGACATTGACATTTTATCAGTGACTCAAACTGACCACAGGAGGCAGCAGTGGACCTGCAGGTCCTAATGTTCTTGGTGGACTTATTACCAGTAGGAGGCAGCGCTGTCCCTGGTCCACTGTATCCTCTCTGCTGCTGGTCCCAATAATGTGTCTGTTTGTCATACAATCACTCATGAAAAGTGAATAAATAATAACTTTTTTAATGCAGCATCTGTAACAAAAAGAGTCATGCACATTAAAGTGATCCACTGTTTTGGACACATTTAAAAAAAAAAAAAATCAAATCAAATCTGAAAAAAAAAACAATGAAGTTGGAGCTGTGCTCAACAACCTCTGAAAATTAAATAAAAGAAACAAATACTGTGTAAAATAAAGTGGTTAGAACATAAGATGAACAGGTTCAGTCTGTAAAACAGGAAGTGTGGTCCTCTGATCTTCGTCTAATCTGGTCTGGTCCGTGGCGTACTCAGGTGGTCATGATGACATCACCTGCGGGGGGGGCACGATCAGCAGACGACCCTGACTCCACCGGTGAAGAACATGAAGACGTCTTCTGGCAGATCTGGGCGTAGCTCAGCTTTTTGACCTCCTGACCAATCAGAGCAGAGCAGAGTGGGTACGTGTCATTTGCTGGTATAACCAATGAGTGGAGATCATCAGTTCTACGAAGGTCAACCTCCACCTTCACACAGAAGGTTGAGGGTTAGACTCCAGAGTCCACGTAGAAGACAGAGAGTTCTTACCAGGTTTGGTGTCTGTGTCAGTGGAACAGCTTGGACTTCACTGCTGTTTCCTGTAGACTGTGTCACATCCCTGAGGAGAGCAGCACGCACACACACGCACACACACACACACACACACACACACACCTGACCATGAAGATCCGTCTCCTTCTCTTATTTTGTCCATTTTCCTAATAATATATAATGTTTTCTTAATTATTATTTTATATGATCAATATATTTATTTATATCTATGTTTTGATGTTTGTTGTAGATGAAGAGACTTTTATTTAATTAATTATATGTATATTTCTGAGGGGCTGGATCAAATGAATTGGTCTTTTAGTTATTTTTAATGGAACAAATGTAATCAAGATTAGATGCTGTTACTGCTGCTGTTGCTGCTGTTGTTGCTGTTACTGCTGCTGCTGCTGTTACTGTTACTGGTGCTGG